AAAAGTCATACCTTTCAGTACGAGCATATTTGTTGTTTTTGTATATTACTCGGTTGAATTTCTAATCACATTCTCACAGTTTATAGGCTTCCTTTGCGATGACGTGTTTGGTGTCTGGTCTTGGTATCCTTATATCGATCTTTATACCGGGAGATCTTATATTCGTTTATCTTAGAACATGGAACCGGGAAAACTACATTGATCAGAATTTCATCGAGAGAAGTTGGACGTGGCGTATAGATGTTGATGTTCCTGCAAGTTTAGATCTAACCAAGTTTGGTGACGCATTTGGAAAGGGCCTTGAATTCACATTTGAAGAACATATCTCTCACACAAAACAACTGATTCGGAAAATATTTAGTAAAACTGTAGGTAAAATTATTATTGATACTTTATTATCAAAAAATAGGCCTTTCTTTGATCTCTATATGCATCCTGTAGACACATTAAGTAAATGGGAGAGAGCCTTAGATGTTTTTAAGCGTGAGCTGAAATTTACAAAGCAAAGAATGGAAAACCACCAGTTATCTTTTACAATAATGTTAGCCGATTAGTTGCAGACCATCCGAGAATCCTTGATGTTCTTCAGGACGACGCAAAGGATAATGTCGAGGACAGAAAATACATCGCCGTATTTGTCAGCAGTGAACGAAGTGTCCCGAGAAGAATGGAATGTAATTATTCAACAAATTTCTTTTGTATTCCCGAAAAAATAGCAGAACTTATTAATGCAGTTCTTATTTTAGCACATAGTTATTGGTCACGTGAATACGAACCAGTGACACGTAGAAATTGGCGATCTCAGTGAAAAGGAATCTGATAAAGATTGTGGCAGACAAATTTATAAATGGACAGTCTCTTGAAGGTAGAACGGTTTTATTATTTTTTACCAATCAAATTTACGCAACTCTGCTTAGAATTAATTGCTTAACTTTTCTTCTGTAGACATTAAAAATTCGATTTTAAATGAAATTGAGAAGAAATTCAACACTGCACAACTTCTCCGAAAGAAATTGCATCATGAAATAGGAAAACGCGTCATCCATGCTTTATTAGGATCTAAAAACAAAGAGCTTAAATTTACAACATTTATGGAATATTTCAATAATTATAAAGGAGCAAATGAAGTACTAGAAAACAACGTATTTGCATATCATCCGGAAAATAATGTTGTTACATTTCAGTCCCAATCGGTAGAATCCTACATTCGAGAAAACACCGACATATTCGTTAACCTAATTGATCTCACACCCCAAGAAGGGACATCCTCCAATCAAACGAACAAGTAATCATAGAATCCACGATAGTAGAAATCGAAAAGGAAGATGTAATTATAATTGATTGGAAGACAAATTTATTATTTTTTTTGATGTAAATAAAGCGATTTTTTCAATGCACAAATTAGATTAAATATACAGTATTACATGCTTTCAAGGGAGGAAGTACGCAGATCCTGAACCATTTAATACGAGTCCCTGCGTCATATTATTTCCTAAACTAGCTTTGTATAGTATATAAACCTGATGTTCAGTCGAATACACAGAATTTGCGTTTGAAAAAAAAAAAAAAATCATTTTGATGATCGATAAATGACGTCTAAGATAAGAAACGGATGTTACATACGACATACAGTATATTAAAGAAATCATGTTAAAAAATATTGAAGAATGTCATATTGAATTTTTCAAAATTAGATACATAAAACCTACTGTGTATTCACTCGGCCTGTTTTCTTTTCCGCTTTTCTTTGATTGGCGAAATATATTAGAAAATTTCATCTTGTATGATTACATAATTTTACTCACGAACTATCGTTATATGAAACTTTTATCTAACGCTAATTAGTTACAGTATATCAAATTTGTTGATTGGCACTACTAATTTCATGATTGAGGTCGTGATTCGATTCAGTTAATTTTAAAAAAATAAATTTGAACTGAAACCGTAATCCACACAGCCATCCCATCTAATCCACTCAGTCAACTTATTTATTTACTTATTCATCTTCCGATCATTTCATTTATATACTCATTCATTCGTTCGCTTACCTACCCCATTCATTTAGTCACTATCCGTTCACCCACCGCTCACTATTCACTCATTCATTTACCCCATTCACTTATCCATACATCCCTCGATTTTCTTTTTTCTCATTCTTCGAAAAAACTACTTTACGTTTGTTTTGGTTTTGGTTTATTTTTAAGTTTGAGATGAATCGTCGCGCGCAAGTCATGATTGTGGTTGGATTTGGTGACTTACAGGTCATTGCATAGTTCTCTAATATTCACCGCATTATTGTTACGTACCAGCAAAGTCAAGAAAATGAATTTTTTAATCATTATTTTAAAATAAAGTTATTTATGCATATTCAAATAATTATTAAATAGAGTGTTTTAACTATTATCTAAAATTCAAAACGCAATACTGCGGGCGTGCGCTCCACAAATGAGGGTAGGGTGAATAATGAATTACGTAATGGATGAATAGGTGAATAGATGGATGAGTAAGTGAACGCATAGTAGGTAAGTGAATAGAAATGTGTGTGTATAAGTAAACGAAGGGATGTATGGATAAGTGAATGGGGTAAATGAATGAGTGAATAGTGAGCGGTGGGTGAACGGATAGTGACTAAATGAATGGGGTAGGTAAGCGAACGAATGAATGAGTATATAAATGAAATGATCGGAAGATGAATAAGTAAATAAATAAGTTGACTGAGTGGATTAGATGGGATGGCTGTGTGGATTACGGTTTCAGTTCAAATTTATTTTTTTAAAATTAACTGAATCGAATCACGACCTCAATCATGAAATTAGTAGTGCCAATCAACAAATTTGATATACTGTAACTAATTAGCGTTAGATAAAAGTTTCATATAACGATAGTTCGTGAGTAAAATTATGTAATCATACAAGATGAAATTTTCTAATATATTTCGCCAATCAAAGAAAAGCGGAAAAGAAAACAGGCCGAGTGAATACACAGTAGGTTTTATGTATCTAATTTTGAAAAATTCAATATGACATTCTTCAATATTTTTTAACATGATTTCTTTAATATACTGTATGTCGTATGTAACATCCGTTTCTTATCTTAGACGTCATTTATCGATCATCAAAATGATTTTTTTTTTTTTTTCAAACGCAAATTCTGTGTATTCGACTGAACATCAGGTTTATATACTATACAAAGCTAGTTTAGGAAATAATATGACGCAGGGACTCGTATTAAATGGTTCAGGATCTGCGTACTTCCTCCCTTGAAAGCATGTAATACTGTATATTTAATCTAATTTGTGCATTGAAAAAATCGCTTTATTTACATCAAAAAAAATAATAAATTTGTCTTCCAATCAATTATAATTACATCTTCCTTTTCGATTTCTACTATCGTGGATTCTATGATTACTTGTTCGTTTGATTGGAGGATGTCCCTTCTTGGGGTGTGAGATCAATTAGGTTAACGAATATGTCGGTGTTTTCTCGAATGTAGGATTCTACCGATTGGGACTGAAATGTAACAACATTATTTTCCGGATGATATGCAAATACGTTGTTTTCTAGTACTTCATTTGCTCCTTTATAATTATTGAAATATTCCATAAATGTTGTAAATTTAAGCTCTTTGTTTTTAGATCCTAATAAAGCATGGATGACGCGTTTTCCTATTTCATGATGCAATTTCTTTCGGAGAAGTTGTGCAGTGTTGAATTTCTTCTCAATTTCATTTAAAATCGAATTTTTAATGTCTACAGAAGAAAAGTTAAGCAATTAATTCTAAGCAGAGTTGCGTAAATTTGATTGGTAAAAAATAATAAAACCGTTCTACCTTCAAGAGACTGTCCATTTATAAATTTGTCTGCCACAATCTTTATCAGATTCCTTTTCACTGAGATCGCCAATTTCTACGTGTCACTGGTTCGTATTCACGTGACCAATAACTATGTGCTAAAATAAGAACTGCATTAATAAGTTCTGCTATTTTTTCGGGAATACAAAAGAAATTTGTTGAATAATTACATTCCATTCTTCTCGGGACACTTCGTTCACTGCTGACAAATACGGCGATGTATTTTCTGTCCTCGACATTATCCTTTGCGTCGTCCTGAAGAACATCAAGGATTCTCGGATGGTCTGCAACTAATCGGCTAACATTATTGTAAAAGATAACTGGTGGTTTTCCATTCTTTGCTTTGTAAATTTCAGCTCACGCTTAAAAACATCTAAGGCTCTCTCCCATTTACTTAATGTGTCTACAGGATGCATATAGAGATCAAAGAAAGGCCTATTTTTTGATAATAAAGTATCAATAATAATTTTACCTACAGTTTTACTAAATATTTTCCGAATCAGTTGTTTTGTGTGAGAGATATGTTCTTCAAATGTGAATTCAAGGCCCTTTCCAAATGCGTCACCAAACTTGGTTAGATCTAAACTTGCAGGAACATCAACATCTATACGCCACGTCCAACTTCTCTCGATGAAATTCTGATCAATGTAGTTTTCCCGGTTCCATGTTCTAAGATAAACGAATATAAGATCTCCCGGTATAAAGATCGATATAAGGATACCAAGACCAGACACCAAACACGTCATCGCAAAGGAAGCCTATAAACTGTGAGAATGTGATTAGAAATTCAACCGAGTAATATACAAAAACAACAAATATGCTCGTACTGAAAGGTATGACTTTT